TATCAATGATAATCCTTATATTAATCCTTATACTAATAAAATAATATTTTTAATCTTTTTTTTTCATATGTCACTCTAATACAACACATCGTTAATATTATGTCATGTGTCAAGGGAAAAATATTAGGTAAATGACAATCACAATTAAAAACTTTAAGGTTTTAAATAATAGATTTTATTTATTTTATAGAAAAATTTACTTTTTGTAATTATATATTAAATTTGAAGTTATAACCAACATCAAGATTTTGGTATATCTCGTAATTAATAATTTTTGTAAACTTATTTCTTTTAAAATAATTGATTAATAATTATAAAATTTTACTATGAAAATTTAATTAATTTTGTAACCATGGTTTCCATGGATTATAAACTAGTTGGTAATAAAATGATAGTGATTTATCCTTCTGTTTTCATTTATGAGATTGTAAATATTTAATAGATTGTTTGGAAAACTATTTAGCAAGTGATTATTTTTAAAATAGTTATGTTAAATAATCATGATCAAAGTTATTGTTATTATTGTTATCATAAGATAGGTTGTATGACAAAACATTTAGACTATACGTATCGGCAACATGTTAATGCATGTTATCACATGTCATGTCACTTGTGATGTTATAACATCAATTGAAGAAATGGTGTTGAAATGTTACAACCGGAGACGGTTTTAAGGGGTTCCCGGTGTGGCACCGGCAACCCCTAACTTTTCTGGCCGCAGTGGAAAAATTTTCGATTTTTCGATTTTTTTTACTTATTTTTTCATGTATCGGCAACACCTATTCATCCCGGCAACACCTGCAATGTATTCCTGCGTCCGTCCCTGGTTACAACATATTATAACATGTTAAGAGATAGAGAGAGAGAGAAGAAGAAGAAGAAGAAGAAGAAGAAGAAGAAGAAAATGGTGATTAGTTGATTTCTTCCGTTGAGATATGTTGTCGTTACCACATCTTATAACATAACACCCCTTAAAATGAAGTAGGCAAAACCATGTTATAACTAGGTTAAGAAGTATCAACTCACCCATAACACCATATTGGGTTGCCCCACCCTTAAATGTGTTTAAAGTTTTTAAAAGTTTATAGTAAAATAATTAATTATTCGATTGATCGACGTATTAGGCTTGAACTTATTTATGAAATGACAACAAAATATACGTTGGGCTTGTTTGGGCATTCAAACGTATTGGGCGGCGAATTTTTGAGTGTTTTTAGATTTTAACTTTTATTAAAAAAACTTGATTTAAACAAAATATTCCGTTTGGGCATTCAAACGTTTATCTTTCAGTTTAGACAAAAAAAATCCAAATCTAGAAGTTATTTTATGTAATGTTTAAGAAAAAACCGTTGAGTTTTTTTAATCAATTTTCAGAAATACCCTTAAATAATTCAAAAGTTTCCATCTATTTTTGACAAAGACTCATGTAACAAATAAAAACTATAATTTTCAGCTATCAACTATCTATTACCAGTTGACAGCTTTCAGCTTTCTATTATCAACAAGTTTTGTTAAATATGTTCAGTTTGTGAAAAAAAAAACAATATTGTAATGTGTTGGAACATGTCAATAAATAATAACAAAGGTTTATAGTGGTCACTTATTTTTCAAAAAACTTTTAATCATTCAATTTTTAATTTTTTAAGTTATGATGAAAAAAAAATTATATATATATATATATATATATATATATATATATATATATATATATATATATATATATATTAGTTATATAAATATAATAAATAATAACATGATTTCGAGCTTCCAAAATTCAACAAAAAACATGTTTTTAACTTGTCAGTATAATATTTTTAAGATGTCATAACTTTTTTATTTTTAACATGTAAAATTTTGCTATAAATAATAATTTGTTACCTATAATATAGTTTCTTTTAGCCCAAAATCAATCGGGGGCGGGGGGACGGGGGATGGGCGGGGGGAATTAAAGGGTATTCTGGAAGACTGGATATTTCGGAGGCGAGGACGGGGACGGGAGAACGGGGAAATTTCGAGGGCGAGGGCGAGGGTTGCACTCCCCGTCCCGTTTGCCCCTGTTGATATCCCTAATTCTGAAAGTAAGGGGTTAGCACATACCACTAAAAAACTAGTTTTGTGATAATTGGTACAAACCCGATTATATAAAGACTATTTATTGGACCTTTAAAAATCGAATAATTTGAGACAATATTTATTTATTCAAACGTTAAACCTGATTTAATGCATTTTCAAGTTGTAATATAAAGTTATTAGCATTTAAACACATATTTAATACATTTTAATAAACACAAATAATCACATTGGTGGACCTAAACTAATGATGATTAATAGAACCTAAAGAGACACGTATGAGATAATTTTTCACAAAATATCTCAAGAACTTCCGGTAGTTGAGTTGAGTATATACGTGTCATTTTTATTTTATTTTTATTTTTCCCCCTTTTTAAAAAAATAAACTGATATGAAAACTAATAAACGTGATGTATTCAAATTATTGGTATATTTGACAACAACTGTTAAGAGTTTTAAAAGCTTTTATTTGAATTAATTTTTTTTTTTGAGTTTAGAGACTTTTTAATTTAAACAAAAAAACTATAATACGAAGTTATTTCAAATAGTTTTTGAAATTTTTAAAAAAATTGAACTTTCAGCTTTTATTTACTTTTCAAAAGTTTATAAGCTATTTTTACCGAATATTTTTATACAAATAAAAAAATCTATTTACCAACTAATTTTTCTACACATATCGATATTTTTCAGAGAATATATCTGGATTATTTCTGTTTTTTATCTACAACTATCTAAAATTCTCTAGAAATGATTGGAAATTATACAAGTAGGTAGATAGTGCATGCATGATTAGGGTCCAAAGATTACTAGATTAGGTAAACCACCACCCAAATAATTGACATTTGTTGTTTTTTAGATAATGTCATTAATATTCTCCATGTGACATGGTGGCCTGGTGGGTGACTACTCCAGCTTCAATATTCGTAATCTTGTTTATAACGAGGGTAGGGAGAATGGCGTTTTGATAAGACTGTATATAGGTCTTAGCTTTTGTTCGTTTAATTGTAGGAAGTTATAAAAATATGAAAGATTTTAAAAAATAAATTTGTATTTATTAATTATATTAAATTATTTTGAATTAGATTATAGAATATTTGATTATAGCCCGTAGGAACCACGGTTACAAAAATAATTAAATTGTTATAGTAAAACTCATAATTATTAATCAATTATTTTCAATAAATTATTAATTAAACATGATTTTGTAGGATTTTAAATATAGAAATACAATTAATTATCGACAATCATAACCAAAACTTATTCAATACGAATTTAAATTTCTTCTAAAACCAGGAATCAAATAAATATTTGTCTAACTTATTATCAACATCAATACTTTTTAAAAAATAAAAAATGATGACAAAATATTAAGTGTCATTTTTATAAAGCATTTGAAAAGAAAATATAAATTATGAAAAAATGACAACACTAATAATTATTCTTTTATTAGTATAAGATTGATTTTGGTTTAATATTTATACCTTTTGCTAGAAATACTAATAAATAGTAATTATGTATTTGAATTTTTCAGGTTTGATTTGATTTTTTGGGTTCAACCTCTTAGAGTTTGATTTATCCTTTTGGTTTAACTAAATTAAAGAACGCAATTAGAATTCAATGCCTAATAATTACCTTTTGACAAATGACTAACTTTATATCATTAAAAAGACTAAAAATATTACAGAAATTACTTTTTTATTTTTAAGAAAGAGACGGATCCCGTGCACAATTATTATATTATACTAATAAAAACTAAGAAATCTAAAAATTTGAGGTGTTGTTCTTGTTTTACTTAGATACTAACGTGGACATGATTTGATATGAATTAGTAAAAAAGTTCGGACTTCGCCCAATGTCGGTTTATTTTTGTTTCTAATTTTTTAGTATTTTTGATTACTAACTGTAGGTGTCGGATTATCATGATTGTACTTTTACCACTAACTGTTATGATGAATTTCATTAATTTGACCATCAAAACATTTTATATGAATAGAGATAAATTCAAAAAAACAAAAAAAAAAAAAAAAAAAAAAAATCCTACAAAAGATAGCACAAGATCCCTGGAATTCTACAGTGAGATTTTCCATTTAGATGTGATATGAGTTTCATGTGAGTGGATGGTAAATGATGTAAGTTGAGGTTTCCTTAAAAACAACAACAATAAGCATTTGGAAAATGGCAACAAACATTCAAGATACATAATACCAATGTAGTTTTAACTCAGAAACATGTTGTTATTATGGGGCGGGTATTAAAATTTTGTTGCCATTATGGACTATGGTTACTGTTAATGGACATATTTAATATCACTGTTTCCAACTCCTATAAAACATTAAACTCTCCCACAGTAATCGAAATAACAGAAAAAACCTGCAATGTAGTCAACACAAGTTACCATTAGATTTCTGATCTACATAGACAAATTGTGCACAAACATATACTAAAAAACACGTCCATTACAATTACAATTACAAGATTCTTAAATAAATCCCGTGAACGATCAACAAAAGTGAAAGCAACAACGTTTTAAAAAACATACATTCTACCATTATTGTTATACCAAAACCTAAAACCAATCATTTAAAAGACACCATGATTAACAAATTATCAAGATCTTATTTTAGAAACATTTCCTCATTTCTCTCATTACCTTATAATTCTATTAAAAAACAAATAAAAAATATATTTTTGAAGATGATAGAAAGTATGTTGTCATATTATGAATTTAAACATTTAAACATAAGGTTATCATTGTTTGTTAATTTTAATAGTTCTTTTAACTAATAAGAGTATGTTAAACATTTCATTTATTTCTTTATTATGGCATCTTTTTTGCAATTTGAAATCAAGGGTATTATATATAGCTCATATAAAAAGGATTTTGGATTATGCATAAAACTTTCAGACAATGCATAAAGACAAACATATAAGAAACTTTTTGCCATTTGAAACATCGTTGATGTCCATGTGTGATAAAAATGGGCTTGGAGTTGAATTTAAACTTCACTCGGCCTGCTATAACATTTCAAGAAGCACCAGCTGCTCACCCTATACAAAATTACAAAAATAACCGTCAATACGTTGTTCAAGAACATTGTATGTGTACATGTTTGTATCAGAGAACTGAGAATTAGATAATAGATATGAGAATGAACCTTAAGAAAAGGGTGATGGAATGGACTATCATTCTTCAATAGTTTGTGTATATTATTCTATGAGAGTTTGGACGACTTCCTTAGCCGATAGTCAATTGAATCATACGGTTGAAATTACTATTGTAACTGCTTTTAGTGTGAAGGAAGACAACAATCTGTCACTTCTTGAGTTTGAACGATATCATAAGTAGAAAATTGTCGTACATGTTTCTTGCTTGAATGGAGAGTGTTCTTTTAGATGTGTGAAATTGTACATTACTCACACGTGTTTGTCCAAATAACCATTTCGTACTCTTATGAACCAACTTCAAACCTATGATGAGATCACAATTGTAGAAAACGATTATTTGATTTGATTCCTGAAGTCAGATATGATTCCAGTAAAATAGAAGCGAATATATTATTTAACACTCTTTTTTTTAATTAAAACATATTGGTGATAAAATGACCGAATTTTAAAGAAAAACGCATTGCTCTATAGAGAAGTATATGTGAGAATAATCAATCTACTTCCATTCATTCTTTACAGTAGTGTACTTTCATTACATCTATTCTTTTCCATTTAATCCAATTTAAATGCAAAAAAGCTATGAAAATTACCTTTAAACCATCGTCTATTGTTAAACATAAGCAATCAACTTTAGCTGCTATAGTATGCCCCCGATTGGTTTTCGAAAATAGAACCCTGAATTTTGCTCCATAAGCAAGTACTTTTCCTCACATCATCAACAACAATAAACTGGAATATAATACTAGGAAAAGGTCATAAAATTTTTTGGTAAGCATCAATTGTATTCAATATAAAATAATAAATAATGAATTCTGCAAATAGTAACAGAGTAGTACAATTCATTTTGTTGAAGCTCCATGTGATATTTCTTTCTTTAGATTACTCCTACACACTCTAACTTGTAAGAAACTATATAAAAAAAACTTAACAATCAGAACACACATGCCTTTTATAAAAGATTGATGAAAAGAAAAACAAATAAATACCTACAAAAAAAGAATGAGGCTTTTGCCTACAAGAAGTGTTTGGACTTCATTTTCCTTTCCAGATGGACCATTTTAAGCAACTACTTTATTGATTTTAACCTTTATAAATCTTCCCTTATTTAGAGGTTAAAAAGTAAATTTCATTCTTATATTTAAATAGATTAATAAGAGATTACCTTAAATGGCAGTTTCTAAGACAACATAAAGATGAGTTTGGTCTAATCAGTGGGACCAATCACCTTTGACAACCAAAACCTTATAACATTCATGCTGTGAAAAAACGAATCAACCAGAAAACTTATGTAATAACGAACATGGAGATAAACTTATACAAATACATTCATCGCCTAACATTTAAATGTTTAATAATTTTATGCAAGTCAAACTTTTGACCAGAACCTGAGGCTCAACATTTAGGTTTTCAAATCTTTAGCAATGCATGAAAATGACATAAATTGAGGGAATAGAAAAGGATTAAAGTTTTTGAAATCTCTATAACTTGTATACGTATATGTAAGTATGTATATCCGAATGTACCTTAATTGAAGGGGTGTATGTGCAACCTGTTTAGTTAGGTTTTAATAATTGGCGTCTTCATTCGGATGTAAGAGAAGGATAAATCTTTAAAGATAGATGTCATAAGTTAAATTTTATAATGAAGGAAGAAATACCAAACATCAAAAAAGCCAAATTTAGTGGGTTTTAACATGAAATTACAAACCATTTGCAATAGTTTCACTACAACTAAATCAGACTGGGAATCATCAAAACACAAAATATTTTTCAAAATGTATTAAATTTATCCCTTTAATTGTACTTTCTGCAATTAATACACTTAACGTATTATCAAACAGCTCCACATATAAAATGGAAACAAAAAGAAATGGAAATCAGATTCACACCTTGTTAATCCTTATGAATTTTTTTTGCAGAAAATAAGCATCTTATCTTCAAGAAATCCACAGGTGCAGAAACTGAATTATAGTAGAAATCAGGGGAAAAACCAACCCATATCGCGATGCAGAAATCAGTAAAGAAGGCAAACCTTACAATCACGACATGTACAAAATTATTTAGAAGGTTAAACTAATAGAGGTTCAAATTCAGAAAGAAATGCCTTTTTTACTTAATAACATTACCTACGAGAAGAAATTCCAATCGATTGGTTTGATCGAAGGACCGAATCTAGGCGTAATTGCTCCCACAAATTCTTCTTTGTTGGTACCCCGTGAGAAACGGTGAAATCACCCCTAATTGCTACATCCATGAGTTTGAAGAAGAAGGGAGAGTTGAAGGAGTGGGGAGATGTGAAAGAACAGGAAGAAAAAGAGGATATCGGTGTGTGATAGGTTCGAAAGCGCTGCCTACTGTGGCGATAGAGGTTTGTCGGGTTCTTCTGCATCTGTGGACATCATCTGTACACATTTAGTTAATCGAGATGAACGGTAACCTAATTCCACACTGATGAGGAGATATCGATGAAATTTGGGGGGAGGAGGAATGGTAGCAGGCAAATATAAATAAGAGAGACAGAGATTGAGTCGGTGAAAAAGTAGATGAAGCGGTGAATGGGGACGTTGTGAGGTTGGAAGATTTTGATTGGAAAAAAAAAAGACGCATGTGAGGCGGTGGAGAATCTGCATGTAAATAGTTGATTGGAAACATTAAACACCAAAGCAGGATAGGGACCAAGAATAGCAATCTCAACAAACTATTGGGCCAAATATGTCAGATTAAAAACTTTACTGTAGCTAAGAGTATCATTAAACAACAGAGTAGGGCAGGGACCAAGAATAACAATCTCAAAAAACTATTGGGCCAAATATTTCAAATTAGAAACTTTACTGTAGCTAAGGGTAACATAGAATATATATATATATATATATATATATATATATATATATATATAAAAGGGTCCGGTTTCTTTGAAGACTCATTTTAAAGTGAGGACTCGTAAGGACATTTTAAAAAAATTGAAAAAAAATCTTTAAAAGAAAAACAAATCTTAAAACTGAGCATAGATCTATGTCCGGAAGAAAAAAAAATTGGAAAAAAAATTTTGCATCATTCAAATTGATCCAGAATTCAATTTTAATTTTTTTTTTATTTTGCAACATTATGATCCATGATTCAATTTTAATGATCCAAAATTCTTTTTCTAATTTTTTTTTCTTCCGGACATAGATCTATGCTCGATTTTATGATTTGTATTTGTTTTAGATTTTTTTCAACTTTTTTAAGGTGTCCTCACCGGTCCCCACTTTAAAATGAGTCCTCACCTGATCCTGTTTCTTTATATATATACTAGATTATGACCCGCGTTAAATGTGGGGGAACATATAAAAAAATAAGATAAAGTAACATAAATAGACTTCGTGTTATTGATTATTATAATGTGTAAAATAATAAAACGAATTGTCTGATTATCTATAATTGTTGAATGACCTCTTTGTAGACAACATGTTTTATTGGTTAGACGACCTTCCCCGTCACATATGAGTACCTTCAAGCCTTTTTTACTTCTCACGCGAGGAACAACTACATATAACTGACCATGAATGGTTATAAAAATAGATATACAAAAGTAAAAATTGTATTTCTTTATTTAAATGAAGTTAATATTGATAACCTCATTAAACTTTTGAAGCAAATCTTACGCTGTTTTTTCCAGAAGCTTCTGTGCGTCGCGATCAAATAACGTAAGTGACACCAAACCGGTAAAGTCTTGAACTCTAATGGTGATTTTGAAACTAAAAGCATTGATATAAACAAATTTAGTAATATAAAATTATAAATTTTAACCGAAACTTATAAAAGAACTATTGAAAACCTTAGAACAACATATATGTCTTTGTTAATGCAAGTTCAAGTGTAACAATAAAAAACTTATTTATCATGCTGTTGATCCTCATGCATTAAAACTATTTTTATGGCTTTCTCTTGACATCTACTACAAACGTAATAGTATCATTTCATATCAGTACCTACATGTTTAATCGTACCGACAACATCTAATGTTTTTTCTTGAAAAATATTGATGTAAGTTTAAATTATATGATAAAAAAAGTAAAATGTAAGATTAGGATAAAAATATTGCAAATACTATTTCACATATATATATATATATATATATATATATTATAAATGAAAGTTACGTATATAAACCTCGTGTACTTGTTGGAGATCAAGAATAGTCTGAAAGTTAAACTTATGACAAAAATCTTCATTTTCGGAGTAGATGATGTCGGACGAAGGGTTGCTAGAATTAGCAATTGTGCTTTGAGACATGTATATGCTTGTGAAAAAAATATTGATTGTTAAACACGTGTGACTCAACCAAGTCCTTTTGACTCTTTTTTTGTGTGCAACTTAATATTAGGCAGGCATTCGTAGAGAAAAAAAAATGAATTAGTTTAACAAAAGAAAATGAATTGGTTTAATGAATAAGAATTAATGAACTTTTTTTGCAAATACTTTTAAGGTTTACGATCACTCAACCAACTTCAACGATTTACAACCATTTGTTTTATTGCAATTGCAAAAGAGTTCAAAGTAATTAAGTCGGGATCAAAAGACAAACAGAGGTCTGTCTTTTTAGATAACTAAATATACAAAGTGGATTATTTTAGCTTAGAAGTGTTATATTTGATAATAACATATAAATGATGCTTTTGATATATGACATGGAATCAAGTGTTGCAATTTTCATTCCTATCAAAATATAGTCAAGGATGACATATAATACAACGTACAAAAGAGATTTATTACATTTATGTCGTATTAACATTTTACTTGGGTTAAAATGGTAATAAGAAATCTAAAAGAGACTACTATTAAATATCTTGTTTTATACAAAAGTTTTATAGCGTAACATGGGTTAACAATTTAAAAAGGAAAAAAAATGGTAAAAGTTAATCACTATCTAATGATAATTTGCAGAGTTTTATAAGAGTCCGTGCTCCTATCTGAACCGTAACAATCTCTTCTCGAAAGGACCACGACGTGGTAATGTCCTGCATGATTGACTGTTTGACTTTGATTTCCCACAACGTGGCCCAGGAAGGCCCACGATGTGGCGTTGACTCTGACTTGCTTGACCGTTGACTTTTTGAACAGATTGAATTTAGGTCAAACTTGAAGGAATTGGGTTATTGATTAAGGTTCTACCGTGTTTTCGTGTTAGTTGGTTCGCTGGAGAAGTCAGTGCAAAGAGTGAGCGTGTCGTTGTGTTTCTTGGGTCTCCGATTCAGGTGAGGTTCCTCACTATACTATGTATTGTAGTGTATATCCTTGTATGTTAGGATATAAGAGTAGTAGTATGTTGGTTAGAGTACCGGTAGGTTGGTGATCATCTAGTGGAGTGCCCTAGGGGTTGTATGTAGTTACGTAGGATAGCCTAAGAGCTCTTGATCTAAGCTTTCTTGCCTATTCCTTGTTTGGTTTGTGGCTCTAGAGTAGGATCTTCTGTTCGAATGTCTATCTCACATCTGGTTACATATAGTTATGCATTCCTTAGAGATCTTCCATTAGTGGGGTAGTATTGCATGAGGTCGGGTATGTTGTAGTGAGTTGTTAGACAGGTAGACTATGGGAGATAGTTGTATGTGCTTATGTGATTGCTTGAGTATTTACTTGTTTCATATGTCGACAAATTGAAGTAGGGTGTGTTGAGGCGGTCCTGCTTTGTGTTGTAAGCCAATAAGCCTGGGAGCAATCTAATCTTAGGCTACGGGTCGGGTGGGGCAATCTAGTCTTAAGCTGTGGGCTCAGGCCAATCTAGTCTTCATGTTGCGTGCTCGGGGGCAATCCAGTCTTTGTGTTGTAGGCCCGGTGTGCATGCATTTTATGTATATTATGGTGCATGGTATTTTGGGGGAACTCACTAAGCTTTAGCTTACAATTATGGATTAAATATTTTTTAGGTACCAGTAATGATCGTGGGAAGGCGAAGGCGTGACTGTACACTTTCATCAACACTAATGTCAGATTCCGTGTTTATTATATTACTCTGATTTATAAACAAATGTATTTTTTTGGAACAAATGGTTCTCTTAACTTGGATTCTATAAATGTGAAGTTTTACCTTAATTAAAAATGAAAATATTTTGTTGTGAAAATGGGATGTTACACATACAATATATGATTTGAGCTTAATATGAGAAAGAGAGATTAGACGAACTAGTTTATTAACTTGTCTTTTTAAGGCGAGTTAACTAAAAACTAAAGGAACTAAAGAGGCTAAGTATAATTATGCTTAGTTTGAATTGGTAAGTATTTATCCTATAAATAAAGGGATAAATATACCAATTAAATAAAATAGTGAGTACACAAAACCCTAGTTGATCCCACAAGTGATAACTGACCACTTCCTTCTTTCCATCCTCTCTCTCCCCCTCTTGGTTTTCTACTTGCATTCGGAAGCCCTCCCTTTCCAAGGGTGGGTTCGTTTTTGGCATCAAGAAAAGGGAAGGATTGTTGCCTTTTGCTTGATCATTGTCTTGGGGTGCTTCAATAAGAGAGGATCTTTGTGTTTGAGATCTTGAATTATCTAAGAAGAAAGCAAAAGACTCGACAAAAGAAATGTATACTACTAAACCTTTGTTGTCAATTTTATGTTGCTACTAGTTTCTAGAACAAGATCCGTGGTGGTATGGGATAGTAAGTTATATTTAATTGTTTCTTCCGCTACGTGTTTGTAAAAACCAGCACATTCCAACACACTATATGTGCAATTTTTTATACTACAAGGAACAACAAATACCATGAGTAAATTGGCATGAATTGATGGAAAATGTAGTCAAAAGGTAAATAAGAATATATTTTGATGAAGTTGGCATTTTGGATAGAATCCCTAATGTTGGGCACGATGCCAGGAAAAAACAATGCAAAATTCATAATAACCTAAAACATAAAAGTTATACGAAATTGAGTCATATTTATATGGAGTTTTGAATCAGTTGTATGGAGTTACAGTGTTTGATTTATAGTCAGCAAACTAACATGATGTCTTAAGAGGATTAATTCATATAAACGTTGTTGTAATGTTTTAGACTTTCTTACTGAGTCCTTTCCGAGTGTTAGGGATGTTGGTGTATTGATCTGGAGTCTTATAGTAATAAATAATGAATAATGATGATAAATATTATTGAACTCCTTGAGATTTATGAGCACTAGTAGAATTTGCAGCCTATATTATTATGTTAGTTGATGTAATTTTTCTTATAATACATGTTGTAAGTGTTTATTTCTTCACTACACAAATCTTTGGTGTACAAAACTTAGATGGTGAAGACATCCAGTGGTTTCGGAAATCAAAGTGTGACCAATGGTGGCAGCAACAACAAATTTGAGTGTCACACTGGGGTTCAATCTGAACTAAAACTAATAAATGGAATCTAACTCGTAATGCAAAACATCTTGGATTACCGCGCGCGCACACACAGAGAGAGAGAAGAGAGAAGATAGATAGAGAAGAAGCGGAGAGAGAAAGAGAGAGAGAAGAGCCGGAGATATATATATATATATATATATATATATATATATATATATATATATATATATAGAGAGAGAGAGAGAGAGAGAGAGAAGGGTTTACAAGTGATTCTAAGTAGTGCAATGAGAGCTAGAAAATTGACATTGGTAAATGTAAGGAAACACTATGTTTCAACTGCATAGAGGTGGGAAATTTTAAGAATCAGTACGCCAAGTTCGGTTCTAAGTGCTATAATTTTTTGGATTCCAGGCACACCAGACCCAGTTTCCAAAAGAAAGGAGTCGAATTACCATATTTCCCTAAGATAAATGAGCAACCAAAAGCAATAAAGAATAGTCTTACATATGACTATTTAAGGAGCAAATGAGTAATAAAAAGGTTGAATAGCATGTTGAGAGAGTTTGGAGATATTTAACTTTCTTGTTAGTAGTCTCTGAACTTAGACAAATTTATTTTATCTTGATTGTGTTGAGAAAGAAGAAGATATCTAGAGTTTTCTTCATCTTTACAACCAAGAGATCATTGTGAAATTGTCAAAGTAAGATTTATCACTAGCTTTGTATTCTTTAACTTGGTTTGTAAAACCTTGGTGAAAACCAATGAATTTGAGGGTTGTTTGGGGTTTGATCATGTTGTGATCATCGTCCCACGATAGATAGAAAATACAAAACCTTATTTGGTGTGAAGAACTTAATTTTGAAGCGATCTAGAGACCAATGCATGTCAACGACCGACAACGGTATTCGTTTTAAAAACCAGACCTCGAACGACCAAGATTGCCAAACTCAGCAAATCAAGTTTGGTGATCTTTAAAATCCATGTTGGGGTGCAGCATGGTGGTGTGCATGGTATCTATGCAATCATGGTTTTTTTTTCCTAGTATTACTGGTATATAAACCATTTTAAACCGCTTAGGTACTATTGAGGATGAGTGTGAAGTTCTTTTGGTGTTCGTCAAATTATTTACTGCAACGTTAAGAGACTCCATAATAGGAGAGAAGAGCTTTAAATGAAAAAGCTCATTCTATCTCCATGATAGGAAGCTTTCTCAATTTTCTTATTTATGGGATCCACAATAACTTGTCTTTTCACAATTATTTGAAAACTTATGAGACCCATCATATCCTTGAAAAATGCCACGATAAGAGCTTGTTAATTAGCAAGCTCCTTGGAAAAGCTTCTTCAATAGTTTTCTTTTTTAAATTTCAATACCTTTTTGGTTTGAAAAAACTCCTATTGTTGATGCTCTAAGGTCATTACATAGTGTTTTCTTCAGCACAACTCCATAAAAGATGTATTTTGATCTTGATTGCTATTTGTGTGTTATTATATTATATTGTACAAGTCTTGCATGCATTTAGGTGTGACTTATATAATTAAGTCATGTGTTGATGTCTTTTACAATATGATGTATGCGTAAGGAAATCTTTAAAAGATGTTTAATGTGTTATAACATGTACATGATGTCATCTACTTTGGCGTGGTCGGAACACTTTGTAAGGATTTCGAGTATAGATGGTTTGAGTTAAAAAAAATCTAGATAGTCTTTGCATTTGCAGGAACCTTTTAGGCGCATTAACCGTAGGCTTGGTATACATGGCACATTTGTGTGGGGTCATGTTAGACGTATGTGTATTGTTTGATTGGTATCATGTCACACACATATAAAACATACTCATATGCATGATATATAGCATGACCTCCCTCAGTGTTTGACATGTAAGAATCCCTGAAGTAGTGTTTGTGGTTTTGCTGTTATGGCGATGAGTGTGGACGATGATGACTTTGGGCGGAATTTAGATGCATGTCATGCATTGCATTATTTAAAATTGTTATGTGCTTACGGTGTATTTGGTGTTTGTGAAATGTTTTCAAGAAGGGGCCTTTAATTTTATAAAATGATGTATTTATAAAATTATATTATTAGAGTCTATCTTCAATGTATTTCATCAAACTTTTCAGTCTGACGATTTAAAATTGTTTATGTGCTTACGAGGTTTTTACTTACTGTGTAATATTTGATGTTTGTGAAATGTTTTCAAGAATGAGCCTTTAATTTTATAAAATGATGTATTTCGAATATTATATTATATTATTAGAGTCTAACTTCAATGTATCTCATCAAACTTTTTATTCTGGCGATTTATTTTGACGTATCTCCCAAGTGGAGAAGAATGTCGAGCAAGGCTATTGGAGTGAGAGTTATTTTGAGATTTCAGTTGTAGACTTTCGGTTATTTTGTTGTTATACTTTTGCTTATGGTTTCGATATTCAATTGGGCATCCCTCGTGAATATTTTTATATAACATTTGTTTTAAATGTTTCAACTATTTGGGATTTTTTGGGAGAGTTCTTTTTAAAACTGCGGTACACTGGAAAAATTGTATTATATAATGACAAAACCTCTCAAGTTGGATGCTTTATTGAAGTTTCCAGGACTTTGGGAATGTGCTTGCTACATTTGATTAAAGAGAGGATCTGTTAGGTGGCTTCAATAATTCCCTATCATTAAGTGATTTGTTTGTGATTAAGTGATGATTTGTCTTATTCCAGATTTTGAGAAAGAACCCGATGATTTGTGATTCTATTTTGATGCAGATTTTCAGAACCAATCTTGTTAAGGGACCCACTTTGATGTGTTTTCATTTTGTTGTAGACTAAGCACAGTGATGGTTTCAGCTCTGCGTCACAAATTTTGTTTTGATTTCTTGTTATTTTGTTTTGATTTTGAGAAAACACATAAAAAAATAACTGAATATTTTGGGTGTTTTAACGTCTTAAATGAGTAATGAACTACTTGTCTTTTTACAAAACATCATTGAAAATATCATCAACTGGAAGTCTGGAACGTTTTATTTGTGAACAAGTTTCAGTTGCTTCGCTTACATTCTTCTGAGCACTTTAACCCGTGTATGAAATGAGTATATATGGGATCACGATTTAATTAGATAAATCCATTTGGAATGAGTAAATGAGGTTCTTTTATTTAATCGTTTCACAATAGTATCACACAACAGAGCTATTAGCAGTTAAAGACTCCAAACCACCAACATTTTAATTCCCAAAGCTGATTCCTTGTGCAAGTGGTAGCTCGCTCCCATAGTTGATCGTACTGTTAAAATACAATTAGATATTATAATATTATATTCTTTTCACTTTTTCAGTCAATTTCTTATTTAGGTAATGCACTATTAAAATCAATGTTTTAGGCCATGTTATAAATTTATAATCAAATAAAAGACCAAGTTACCACAAGTTATAAAGTAGCAAGGTCTCTTGTTTGATTAAAAACTTATATCAAAAGTTATTCTGAAAGTATGTTGCCTAAAGTGAAAAAAAAAATTAGAAAGTAGGTTCCTTTTATGTGCAAAATTAAAATTTTACCATGTTGAGCGTCTCATATACTGTTTCCAAGAATCACTTCCGGCTTCACGGCCGCCACCTGTCCCCTTCTCACCACCAAAAGCACCACCAATTTCAGCACCATTTGTTGGTATATTTACATTAACAATACCACAATCGCTTCCTTGAGGTCTGCCAAAAAAAATAGCATATGAGAACTCAATATTAACTTAGAGAAAATTAGATAAAAGTCATTGTAATTTCATTGCATTTTGAATTGTTGTTGTTTTTTTTTTTTTTTAAAAGCCATTGGTGACCTGCTATAGCCCCCATTAACAGGTCACCAATTCTGATGTGGCATTCGCAAAACCAACTTTTCCATTAAAACCAAAAATAATTGATTACATTTAAAAAATAATAATAATAATTTAAAAAAAAAAAAAAAAAAAAAAAAACCCTTGACAAAAAAAAATGGAAAACCATAAAAATTAAAAGGAGTTTTAGGTAAACTTGACCGAATTATGGGTTGGTATTATTAAATAAAATATGACAATGGGTTTTTCGAAAATGGAATCAAAACATAATGGTTTTAATGAAAATTTTTATTTTGTAAATGCCACATTACATTGGTGATCTGTTAATCGGCTTTTCTGTAATTTTCCCATTAATTTACTGTTATGCATCAACTTCTACAATATATGATAGATAAGGGCAATATGGGAAATTCAACAAATAAAGGGACATTAGGGGCAGTTTAGGTATTTTATATTATTTAGTTTGTTATGTCAGATAGTATAAGAAGAGGTTAGTGGGCAGGGAGGGAGGTATCGATCTTTTCTGTTAAACCTGGAATTATTTCCTCTTGGGAGAGTGGCTATCTCGAATCAGCTAATCTATCCTTAGCTCTTGTAATCCTTTGGAATTGTTGAGGGATTTTCAATTAATATTAGAATCCTTTGATTGTTTTATGTTATTGAATCTGTTCTTAGAATCCAGTTCATAACATTTACTACCTATGAAAAATAGTCACTCACCCAATCCATTTAAAGATAAGTTCATGTGAGCGGGTGAATATAGAACTAGACAATCCTTGAGGTACCGAATTGTTTATCTCAACAGCTTCTTTAAAATCCTGTAAAATTTATAATAATCATTAAATAAAGTATATTCATAAATTTTGTAAAAGAAATTGGTCAAAAGTCAAAACTGACCTTAAATTTTAGTACATAAAGTACAGGACCAAACAGTTCTTCCTTCACAACATCAGCAGCTGGTGAAATCTCAACTATTGTCGGCTGTACAAAGTTTCCTTCAGATTCTATAACCGAACCACCGGTGAGGATTTTCCCTCCCTGAGACTTAATGACTTTTATGCCCTTCTCAAAATTCTCCCTTGATGCTTTTGTATGCAAAGGTCCAAGCAAGGTGCCATTTTCTAAAGGATCACCAACTTTAACTTGCTTATATGCTTCAAGTAATTTATCGACTACAGAGTCGTATATCTTTTCATGAACAAGCTTCAATAAATAAATATATATATATATATATAATTAGCATTAAATATAACAGAAAAAAAAAATCATTTCATTTCATTGTTGAGATTCTTACAAGTCTACGACATGTAGTGCAGCGTTGTCCAGCTGTACCAACAGCAGCAAATAGAACAGAGCGAACAGCAAGCTGAATGTCGGCATCATCCATTACAATTAAAGCATTATTTCCACTTAATTCAAGCAGACATTTACCAAATCTCTCACTCACAGTCTGTTGAACCATCTGACCAACCTGTAGTTTTGTTATGCGCCACGTGTCAGGGTAAAATGGTCATTTAGTCTCGTTTAAACAGTTGATTCAGTATAGAAAAGAGATAGAACATATGTATACCATACAGGACTTGAAGGGGAAAAAAATAAAAAGCCCCTGAGGTAAGGTACCTTTGAACTTCCAGTGAAGGAAACCAAGGGTATGCGTGTGTCTTTTGATATAGCTTGACCAATTTCAGCACCCCCACAAAATGAGGTGAAAATGGCAGTTGGTAAACTGTTTTTTTCCAGCACTTCTGCAACTAGCTTGGTCATTGCTATTGTTATTAAAGGTGTGGTTGGGGCACCTTTCCTGCAATCATCTCATAAACAAAAAACAGGTCAATACAGTTAGAGGAAGTCAAAATAATCAAGTCAGTTCATAGCTCATAGCTCATAGCTCAATCCAGTTATTACAGGTTGTCAGTTGGTTGGAGACTGTGAAAGGCATCAAGGAGGATGGAATTGGTATAATAGAGAGGTAAGAGGGCAATAGAAGTCGCCTCTTGAAAGTGGTAAATCAGTGAAATAAGGAAAAAAAAAAATTCAATAGCAAAAGAAGCAGAATTATCCAATGTCATAAAGGAAAAAAGAATAGAAATATCCTTAAACTCAGTAGTAGGTGTCCACCTCTCTTGTAAGCAAAACAGCTTAAAACTCGACCTATAGAGGGCTTCATATTTGTCAGCTACCCTTGTTAAATGAAAAGAATTACCAATTTACCACTACTTGAGTCATCATCGTGGGAAGATTATGAAAGCATAAAGCCTAGTTTCCAAATTTTGATCTGGACAAGATCAATGTTTTGGGGACACATATTGATAATAAACCTCCTATTATATTCACTTATGCAAGGAGAAGAAAAGGTCAACAGGTCAATGCTGATTAAATGAAGTCAAAACAGTCAATGCAGAATTTATAAAATCAAACAGGTCAATACAGTTACAGGAAGTCAAAGTGATCAAGTCACTTGGCTAACATTTTCTTAAATTCATGTTATAATTTAGTTTTCAAAACCAATAACCACTTTCTTTAAGGTTTTCAAGGATAAAAATGACATTTTTCAAGGTTTAGGTATCACTTACCAAACAACAGCATTTCCACAGACTAGAGCAATGCATGCATTCCATCCTACACAGCAGCATTTGACAGTTTATAAGATAGAAGGTAAAATTTATTCATCAATATATTAACAAGTGCTATTAATGCTATTGCTCACCAAGAACAGCACAAGGAAAATTGAAGGCTGTAATAACACCAACTACTCCAAGAGGATTCCACATCTGTAAATAGTCAATAATATATATAAGTGTAATGGATAAGCATACATTAAATCAAAAAATTTAATAGTACCTCAAGCATCATATGATTTGGACCTGTCAACAAACCAACCATGGTTAGTATTCAGGGTAACCAATTGAGGTTGTAATGTTATTTTTCTTTATTTTTGAAATATGAAAGGAAATGTGAATAGAGCTCACGTTCAGAAGGTATCACAGATCCGTTTAATTGCCGGCTTAAACCCACTGCAAAGTCGCACATATCAATGACTTCCTGCCATGAAAATGTTTTATTTAATAAGATACATCTTAATAAGACATGATGTGAATTAAAAGTGATTAATTACATACTTGAACTTCTCCTATTCCTTCTGGAAGAATTTTTCCCATTTCAAGTGATAGAAGTCTACCAAGGTACTGAAGCTTGGTTCTTAGTGCATCACCAATCTGTCTAACAATCTCGCCTCGCTTTGGTGCAGGAAGCTAAGAGGAAAAAAAATTAATTACAAAATGGTAAAAAAGAGATTATGGAAATATAACAGTAAACTATACCCATGAGAACTTTAACTTACTTGCATCCAAATCTTTGAGGCTTCATAACAAGCCTTTATGCCTTCTTCATAATCTTGAGAAGAAGCTTCTACTACTTCAGCAATGGTCTAGAACAACAAAATATTACTTCTGTAAAAACTTGTCATTGAATAAGATAATCAACTTAGATAGTGTTTGGATGAGCTTCTGTCCCTTGAAGAAGTAACAATTATGTAATAGATTAGGGTAAAATATTATATCTGACCCTAAATATATGAATAAGATGGTCATATAAAAACCGGACTTCAGATGATCACTGTCTAATCACACATCCAAACACCCTTAATCGGATTATTGAAAATTTTCAGGAAGTTCAAATTCCAAATCAAAATAACCTAGAGATCAAACTAAACCGATTTGCGTTCTCAAATTCAAAATGTAACTCTCTTATCTAACAGGGTGAAATATAGTATAAGTATACCCTTAATCGTCGGGATCTTTTAGGGAAATTAGAATAAACCTTAAAACACGGAAGAGTGTAATATTTTAGTACAGAATCAGATAGAGTGGATTTGAAGCAGAGGTGATTACCTTGTTGTTTGCAGGATTAACAGAGGAGACAACAGAGCCACTCCCTTTCCAAACACCATTAACAAAGGCACCAGAATTTCGAGGCTCGATACCAATCTCGTTTAAGAACTCGTACTCCTTGGCGAAACTCATATCTGCACGAAGCAATAACACTACACTGATAAATCAGATACATATCAACTAAAAAAATGTAATGAACTATTAATCCGTATCAAAATTCATCTGCTAGTGCTGGGTATCACTTGCAGATCAGATCATTTTGGTGATCGTTAAAGATCTATTCATTACCTGAAACGCCTTTTGAACTAATTTGGGGAAGAAACAGCAGCCGTTATGAAGTCCTCTGGGAGTTTCAGATGAGATTGAGGGTTATTGTTTGAGAGAATTATTATAGAGAAAGGAGAGACGTATTACCGGAGAAGACTGTTATACGACAAAACGGTTTGATGATTTGGTGAGGATGCCACGGAAGAGGGGTGAGTTTTTGGAGGGTTTTGAATTAGACGTATGTCTGATCGGTAACGCCGAAACGGAAATAATTGAGAGCTTATTCGGCCAATGACCAAAATGTAGGGTGAATTTGAAGAAAATGACCATAAAAACGAAGATTTCTCACAGGTTCCGCAGAAGGGTTTTGTGGAACCATAAACACCTCTGCGGAATGTGAACACCTCTTGATTTTTTTCTCTTTTTTTTTCATTTTTTCGTTTTTTTTTCGTTTATTAATACTTTTTTTAATCACATAAGGTATTATGTGATTATTATGTAAAAAAAATTGTTTTCGTTTTTCGTTTTTCTTATTTAATTACCCGTTTATAAAAGCTGTGTGTTTAATAAAAATTATACAAATATTCTATGTTTTTTAGAAAATTACACACACCGGTATTCTGAATAATAAACATACTTTAAGTGGGTTACAAAACATATTTTAGAAAACATAAACATACAACCTTCATAATAAACATACTTTGAAATAAACTTCATTGAAGGCTCTGCGGATCCTCTACAGCTCTGCGGAATCTTTGTTTTTTGATTTTTTTTTATTTTTTTTTTTCGTTTTTTCATTTTTTTTTTTTTGCGTTCATTTTCGTTTATTAATATAATTTTTTTTAAACACACTAATACCTTATGTGATTATTATGTAAAAAATTCTACAAAAAAAGCTTAAAAATAATGAAATGTTTTATGTAATATGTTTGCCTATGAGGAACCGAAACACCTCTGCGGAACTTGAGTTTTTTAATTTTTATTTTTTTGTTTTTTTGTTTTTTATATTTTTTGGTTTTCGTTTATTAATATTAGTTTTTTTAAGACACTAATACCTTATGTTTTATGTAAAATTTTGACCAAAAAAAAGGTTAAAAATAATGAATTTATGTTTAATATCAGTCCACAGAACTGTTTGGGAATCCACATAACTGTTATCAGCGAATCAGTGTACACCTGTAACACCCATAAATTATTTTCCAAATTTAACTTTAAAACTCATTCCAAATTCATCAAAACATTACACACTAGTTTTCAAAAATGTATAATATCAGAGTTTTCCCAGAAACATAAACAAAACATGAGGAGTTGTACGATTACGCCTTCGCCTTGTCGCGATCCCCTGATGTACCTGAAACAAATAACTGAAACTGTAAGCCCGAGAGCTTAGTGAGTTCCTCCAAAATATCGATACGCTACACATAACACATATATAAACAACAACATGTATTGGGTCCACAGCTTTACAGACTGGATTACCCCCTGGGCCCACAGTGTGAGTCTGGATTGCCTTACGGGCCCACAGCTCACATCTGGCTTGCCATCGAGCCCACAGTACGAGTCTCCCTCAGCTCGTAACTGGAATGCTGTAACGCCCCATTTCTGGTATGTGATTTAATAAAGTAATTTTCATTTTCTTAAGGGGTACTCGACGAGTCTGTAGCCCGACTCGTCGAGTAGAGACGGGATGATCACGCGATTTAAGTTGGCTACTCGGCGAGTCTGCCTGTCTGGATGAAGCCCTAATTTCAAGGGTTTGTACCCTATTTAAACGTCATTATAGCCTCCCACCCCAGCCTCCATCACCCTCAGAGCATTTCTTACCAAACCCTAGCCCTCTTAAAGAGTGTGTGAGTGATTGTTGCTTTGTGAAGGAACTTTTGGTGCACTTTGGAGCAAGTAGAAGAAGGAGAAGGTTGAAGAGTTCAAGGAGGGGGAAGTAGATCCGGAACACACTCATTTGTGGTCATCTTCTCTGGTAATAAAGTCTCCATCTTGCTTATTGATCTTATAGATCTAGTTTGTCCCTAAATTGTTGTTATTAAGCTCAAAAACCCCAAATCCTTTGTAATAAAGCCTTATGATCGAGTTATACTTCAGATCTAGACTCTCTTGAACTCCAGGAGCTCATTATAGCCACCTTTATGCAATCTTGGCCTTGTTTCAAACCCTAAGTGCTTAGTATTTGATGAGTTTGGGTATTTTAGCCTCATACCCTTGTGCATGCACGTAAAGTTGGAAACTTTACGTGTAAAACCAGTCCTAGAAGCTCAGATCTATGTTTTGGAAGCACTGAAATCGATTAGAATCAACTGTATAGTAATAGCATGCTTGGGACTCGGCGAGTTGTTCTTCAACTCGGCGAGTTGTTCTTCAGACTCGACGAGTAGTTCTTAAGACTCGGCGAGTCGCAGACTGGACGTGTTCATATGATGAAGGAGAACTCGACGAGTTGTTCATACAACTCGGCGAGTCGGATGAAGTTAGACTCGATGTATGTATCGTAGCAGAACTCGTCGAGTCTTCGCCAAACTCGACGAGTAGAGGACTAGAACGGATGAAAGGGACTCGACGAGTTGGCGGCCCAACTCAGCGAGTCCGGTCAACTGGAAGTTGACTTTAACCAGGAAGTTGACTTTGACCGAGGGTTAAATAGTCATTCTACCCTGAGATTAGTTATCAGTATTTGATTTAGTGTTTATGGGATTTGTAGCCGGGGAGTTCTGGAGCAGCAGTCAGACAGTCTCAGATTTAGCACCTCAGCAGCCAGCGTCACGAGGTGAGTTTCCTTCCGGTAGGAACGGGTCTACGGCCACAATGCCGGCCTGTTTAGTTAGCAGTAGTTCCAGACTTTCGTCTGATGCAGTAGTTCACGGTGCTTGATGTCTTTGTGATTCAAGCATGTTTTTGTGTTATGTGTTCCGTACTTCGGTCCGATGCAGTATGCAGTATATGTGTTTATGCCAGTAGTTATGATTATGCTATGCTATCTTCAGTCAGTTTCCGGACTTCGGTCCGATGCAGAGGGCAAGGCCCTGGTTAGTTCCGGACTTCGGTCCGATGCAGTTTCCGGACTTCGGTCCGATGCAGAGGAAAAGGCCCTGGTTAGTTCCGGACTTCGGTCTGATGCAGTTTCCGGACTTCGGTCCGATGCAGAGGGCAAGGCCCTGGTTAGTTCCGGACTTCGGTCCGATGCAGTTTCCGGACTTCGGTCCGATGCAGTGGGCAAGGCCCAGTAGTTGCTTATATGTTATTGTATGGTATGTGGTAGTTTGGGGGAGCTCACTAAGCTTTGTGCTTACAGTTTCAGTTTTGGTTTCAGGTACTTCCGCAAGTAAGGGTAAGGGCTCGGGATGATGGCATGGCACACACCACAGTTTCAGTTTTATCCTGGGAGTTTTATCCAGATATTTTGATATGATTGATACAGTATTTGTTTTGATACAGTTACTTGACTTTTGAGTTACTCATTCTATGGTTCTTAGTATGTATGACAATCGATGATGTGATTTTTAGTAATATTAAAACAAAAATTTTTGAGTCATATTTTGGGATGTTTCAAATGCTCTCGAGCCCACAGTACGAGTCTCCCTTAGCTCGCATCTGGAATGCTCCCGGGTTTGTTGGTTACCGCACGGAGCAGTATCACCTCAACCCATCCCACATAACATGTCCACATATAAACATAACCACTGTGCATGCAAATAATCATACAACAATGTCGGTAACTCTACAGATCTACCCAACTGGCATAACCACTAGCATGCAATCACTAATCCACACTCAACATAATAACACTACTTGGATAACATATTCAATGGGTCAGCCTTGGTGCCTTAGACCCCTTAGTATAGTGAGGATAACTCACCTCGCAACTGTCGTCTAAAACTAGAAAGCTCAACTCCCGGATCACCACCACAAACTCCACCACCTATATCCGACACATCACAAAGTTCATAGGTTCCCAAGATACTTCCAGAAGTCCAATAGTCAACCCTTGCCCAAAGTCCAAGTCAACTTTCAAGGTCAACAGTCCATGTTGACCTCAACTCGTCGAGTACCCTTAGCTACTCGCCGAGTTCCTGGCATGACTCGCCAACTCGCCGAGTCACTCGAGTGGCTCGTCGATTTCCTATTATCAGTGGATGTAACCCCTTGGCCAACCCGCCGAGTTTTCCCTTTACAACTCGTCGAGTTCATACGTGTCCAAAGGTTGGGAAAACCCTAACCGACTCGCCGAGTCATTCTACTGACTCGTCGGGTCTACGACAATCTTCAACGGACTCGCCGAGTTGTTCATCCAACTCGTTGAGTACAGGACCATCTTCATGTGGCTCGCCGAGTTGACTATGCAACTCGTCGAGTCCCTTCAGACCTTTATCCATACAGGTACTTTTTAAGTCATGCAACGACTCCATATTTCAGATCCAAGCTTCTAAGGTATGTTTATCACGTAAATTTGCAAATTTTACGTGCATGCAAGGCCCTAGAGACTCTAAATGACCAATCTAAGCTTCCAATGGAGCTTTACGCCTTAGGAGAGTCTCATTCTTGCAAAAGCTGGAAACTTTATGGACTTAGAGACCCAAGAGAGTTCAGATCTGAGGTTGCAACCTCAGATCTTAGCTCAAACACAAGAAAGGCTTCCTAATATGCTAGAAAAGCCCTAAAATTTACCCAAAAGGGATCTAGAAATGAAATGAGGTCAAGATAGCGATTTGATACCTTCCAGAAGATGCCAACTAAGAGAGATTTCAGATCCCACACGTTCCTTGCTTCTGGATACTTGCTCTCTAAGCTCTTTTCTCCAAAATCCTCTTCCAAAGCTTAAGAATACACAAATGGGAGCACACTCACACGAATTAGGGTTTTAGGATTATTAAGAGGCTGTAAGGGGAGGCTGAGGAGGCCAATGATCCTTTAAATAGGGTGCAATACCCCAGGATTTAGGGTTTCATCTGCCAGCTCCTACTCGTCGAGTCCCTTCTTGGACTCGGCGAGTAGGTCACTAAAACACGCGGACCAACCCGCTGCTACTCGATGATTGGGGCAGCCAACTCGTTGAGTAGACCTTGAAACCAAGAAATTCTTACATGAACCAATACCTGAGAATCGGGGGGTTACAATTCTCCCCCACTTGAACTAGACTTCGTCCTCGAAGTCTGCCGCGACGAACAGCTCCGGATAGTGCTCCCGCATCTCTGCCTCTGGCTCCCACATCCACTCGGACCCCCTACGATGCTCCCACTGTACCTTCACCAAAGGTATCTCCTTGTTCCTCAGAACTTTCGTCTTCCTCTCCAGTATGGCCACAGGCCTCTCCACATAATTCAGACGTTCATCGACCTGAATATCATCCAGCGACACCACTACCTCCTGATCCATAATGCACTTTTGCAACTGCGAAACGTGGAAAGTGTTGTGGATCCAACTAAGCTCCTCCGGTAGCTCTAGCTTGTAAGCCACCTTGCCAACCCTAGTAATGATCCTGAATGGCCCAATGTAACGAGGACCCAATTTCCCCCCTCTTCCTGAAGCGGATCACACCCTTCCATGGTGAGACCTTCAGGAGAACCATATCACCCACCTAAAACTCTAACTCAGATCGACGTCTGTCGGCGTAACTCTTCTGCCGACTCTGAGCGGTCTGCAATCGCTGCCTAATCTGCTGAATCTTCTCAGTAGTCTGCAACACTACTTCCGTCCGCCCCATCACC